ATATCTTAGCCTGCCCTCTTCTTTCTGCCACCCACTTTCTATCTCATTCTATCTCTCTCTCCGTTTTTTCCTCTACCTCCATCTTTTCCCCTATCCCCTAACACCAGCCCCTTATTAAAATCTCAGCAATGTCTGAGGAAAGACAACTGGCCAGTCAAGTAAGGCTGGACATGTGTGGGGTTCTGCTTGGATGTTTGTGAGTTGGGCTTAGGTGATTCTATTCTTCTTTCAGTGCTGGGCTGCTTCTCTCTGTCTGGAATTTTAGCTTAGGGTAAACGTGATCTCACGTTAAGGGCCTCCATGTAACACGTGCGATGAATGCCAGTTATTAATAAATGAGCTTTGGGTGGAGATGGTGTGAAAGTTAAATGTTCTGTCACATGGAAGTGACACTTTGAGACATGCTTTTTCAGAGAAAAAAGACAAACATTTTAAAAGAAGTTCTTGTGAATAAGCACAGGGAATAAATTTTGTGATGAGTGACAGAAATAGAGAGCTAAGTTTAATAACCAACAAAGAATTAGATTCCAGAATATGAGTATATATACATATATATACAGAGAGAGACAGAGGAAAGGGAAATAAACAACTCAATAGAAAAGTGGGTAAAGAATATGAGTAGGAATTCGTAGAAGAGAAAACCAAATAGTCATTAAATGTATGAAAAGATACTAAACTTCATTAGTCAGTGGCAAAAAGCAAATTAAAATAATAACATACTTTTTAACAGTGATCAGATTACAAAACTTAAAAGCCTGGGGTCGGTGATGTACAGAAAAATGAATACTTTAATACACTGCTAGGCATGGGTATGAAATTGGAAAGCAGTTTGGCCCTATCTAGTAAAGTTGAAAATGTATACATATTATAACCCAGCAATTCTCTCTTTTTTGAGACAGAGTCTCATTTTGTTGCTCTCAGTAGAGTACTATGGCATCATAGCTCACAGCAAGTGCAAAGTCTGGGGCTCAAGCTATTCTCTTGCCTCAGCCTCCCGAGTAGCTAGAACTGTGGCCGCCTGCCACAGTGCCTG